ACATAGAAAGTCTTTGAGTAAACCTGCCACATAGTAAAAACTAAGTTTTTCTTCCCTCTCTCTTCCTTTCTCTTTCTCCTTCTCTCCCTATATGCTACTTAAGATGCCTGGGACAGATTATGAGTCCTCAGACCAAAAGAGGCTTGACTTTCCACAAAGGGGAGCAAGAGACCTGGCAGCAATGTGGTTTATGGAAAAGAGTCCGGGGTAGGTTATGTTCTAGTGTTCTAGTTTGCCTTTGTTAAGATCCTTGGCAAAATGACTTACGCAGCAATCCGGGCCTCAGTTTTCTCATGTGAAAAATGAGGATGTTGGCACTAGCCACATCATAAGGTTGCTGGGAAGATAAAATGAGATCATAAATATAAAAACAGTTTTTGAAGTGCTGGATTTAAACTTTTGCATAATGTTTAAACTTGTATATTTTACATCTTTCTGTATTCCCTCACATCTCCTCTAAACCTTAAATAATAACAACAACAACAATAAAAAGTCTTCATCTCCTTGGAAACAGTGGATCTGGAAAAGTTTAACTTATTTGAAGTCCCTAGATTTGATTTTGGACAAAATCCAGTGAATTGAATTAATTTTCAAAGCTTCGTTCGGAAATTTAAAAACAAATTTTTTTTACCTCACGTTTTGAAAAAAGATTTTAAAAAAAATCACAGTGACAATTTTCTAATATTAGGAGATGAGGGGAGGTTAGGAAAAACACGTCAATTATTTAAGTCAATTTGTGAAAATGCCTTCAGGTGAGCAGATATCTGAACATGGATCATCTAGTGGTTGTGGGCTAAAGTGAATAAGACAAAGATAGTGTGTGAGGCCGTCAGACTCTTTGTTTTCCAGCTTCTGATTTTAGTATCCAGTCTGCTTCCCACTTCACTTCTTGTTTGTGTCATCTGTATGACAAGGACCATATTTAGTTAAGTGGAATGAGTTCTAAACCCACATCTGTCTCTCCCTTTCTCTCTCCCTTTCTAAGCACATGCTGTTCTGTGCTCTGTGATCAAGGAAACACTTCAGCTACACCCCATTTACAACACCAAAATTGCTGATCATAATCAATGTATATTCGCAGCTCTGGGTGAAAGGACCTGTCGAAATGCATCATAATGGACACATCGTTAAGCTCTCAATAGAAATTCCACAGAAAGGGAGCACGACCCCTTGTAAAATTAATTGCTCCAATTGGGGATTACGGAGGATTAGGTGGAAGTAAATTCCAAGCTGTGATTGTGGTGGTCACTGTTCTTCCAGGATAAAAAGAGCCCTCATCTTTAAGGACCAGAACCTTCTAGATATTACATTTGTTTTTGCCAGATCTCTGACTTCTACTGCTGAAATTCTCCAGTTTGCCTCTTTGGTTATCATGGTTAATTTTTCCTTATGAACTAGATAGGGACAAATATGGAAGTCATTGGGATGAGTTCGTGAGTCCATGGTGCAACTTGGTCTTGATGTGATAAAGCCATTCACCATCAATCCTGCCATGGGGACAATAACTGGGGTGAAACATCTCAATTTCACACCTGCACTCTTGTAATTCTTCATAGAGAAGGTTGCAGTGTCCCACATGTGTCCTTTAGGGAAATTTCCACCACTCTTCTCCTTTTCTACTTGTTTTGCAAACCGATCTGTCTGGGCATCATGTAAAAATGGGGCCGAACTGAACTTCCCATCCAGTATGCAACATGATCTCTACTCAAAGTCAAGTCAATCTTTATTTGTCATATTCCCCAAAAGCCTAAAAGACTGTATCATTACATTTGCACAATTTACACATGGCTCATGCCCAGGGCCAAGACGCTATGCCACGTGATTTAACTCTACAGTGACTTCTCAGAATTTCCATTAAGATATTGGAAGGGTTTTTGCTCAATTTACCCTCTGGCTGACTCAGTTCTATGTCTTAGACAATGGATGCTTTTATAAAGAAACGTTCTTGGCTTATAAATCTTAATTTTTTTTAAAAGAGTCCATTGCAAATGTAAAATTGATTTCCTTTGCTGTTTTTTTTCTTTAATTCCAAATAATGCCTTATGTACCGCTGCTGCCTTGAGGAGCAGGAAGGCTGTAATTTACCAGATGTGAAGCTATTAGGCCTTCATTTCCTGAAGCAATGAATTAGCAACTATTTTCCCCTGTCGCAGAAAATTGTCACCAAAAGAGTCCAAGACACAATGGCAAATCCAATTAATGTTTTTTTCTTTCAAGCAGGCCTAGCTGAAAGATGAAGTGACTTGAGTGAGAGGCAAATTGGTTTGGAAATTACGTCACTTCAAAGGCCAGCTGGGGAGCAGGGAGGGAGCTGCAGTGAACATTATTTTTATATTCTATATTATCACTGTTTCAATAATTACATTAGGATTACCCTTTTCTACTAGTCGAGGTAAAAGATCACAGATGATGGCTTTAATTTTGTTTGCTCCAATTCTTTGGAAGGAAACACTTAAATTTTCCTTTTAAAAAATAGTTAAAATTGCAACAGATAAAGTTCAAGTGTGTAAGATCTGTTTTAGTGTCTTAGGAGGAAAGAATGAAGCTAGGGTCTAGAATCTTGAGCATTAAGGTGGGTTTAGTATTTTGTATTATTTTAGCATATATTAAATTTTATAATATATTTACATATTATATTTAACTCTATATTAATATTTTAATACTTAAAGTGTTAATCATTTGAAATGAAATATATAATTTTTTTACCTATAGCTTACCTTAATAAATAGTATATTCTTGATCTACTCTATGGAAATATTTTTAATATTTATGATAGACATAATTTGCTTTTAGAAGAAAATGTTCTCTGAAATTGACTTTGCTATTAAATATTTTCATTTGATAAAGGCAAATCAACTTAAAATTTGATGAGAAAAATATAGATTAGAGTTGATACTATATAGTCTATATTTCTGAATATATAGAAAATTATGAATGCCTTTCCCGTGTTTGTGCATTTCGTTAACCATCATGTCTATACCATACAAGATTACACTGGGTATACAGAAGAAGTGGAGGACACTGTCCTTGCTCTCCAGGAAATTGGGAACCAGAGGGAAGACTAAAGGATGTCCCTGGAGACTGATTATTAGGCAGTTACACAAGGAAATCGGAGCCCACGTAGTAGTTACAGACACTGGGGTCAAGGACATTCGAGATGAGGGAAACCTTGCTGTGGGGTGAGATCAGTCAGAAAAGACTTGCATTTCTTTCCCTAATACATTTTCCAAAATACAGAAAACAAGATTGGTTGGAGGCTGGGGAGGAGTTTGGGTCCCAACTGCAGGCAGGGAAGAGAGAAGAGAATAGAGAACTTCTGTTGAAAATCACATTTGAGAAAAACCATATTTTCCTTTATGTTTATGTCAAAATTTTCATCAGACTGAAGGGAAAATAAGAATTACTTCGGAAAAATAACTCATATTGATTGGGTGATACTAAAGAAAAGAGCGTTACCTTTGAAGAATTGTATATAAAACTTATAATAATAATAATTAGCAATAAAATCATTTTTCAAAGCTTCATATATGAGAACATATAAACTTTTAACAAGTCATTCTCAATTATCTCATATGATAGTGTAAGGAAAATCCATCTCTTTGCTTTTAGAGACTGAATCCTTAAAACTCAGCATATAAAATAGAACCTACTTCCTGAACTATGCTGATCAATACCACTTCAATTCTAAAAAAAAAATACAAAACTGGCCGGGTACAGGGGCTCATGCCTGTAATCCTAGCACTTTAGGAGGCCAAGGTCGGCAGATCACCTGAGGTCTGGAGTTCGAGACCAGCCAGGCCAACATAGCAAAACCCCATCTCTATTAAAAATACAAAAATTAGCCAGGCGTGGTGGTAAGCGCCTGTAATCCCAGCTACTTGGGAAGCTGAGGCAGGAGAATCACTTGAACCTGGGAGGCGGAGATTGCCATGAGCTGAGATAGTGCCACTGCACTCCAGCCTGGGCGACAAAGAGAGAGGCAGTCTCAAAAACAAACAAACAGAAAACCAAAACTAACCCTTTCATGCTTCAGGTTTTCCTCAGTTGAAAGGTAAGAGGGAGGTCTTCTGTTTTATCATGTCTGGCTGTCCTCTTGCACACCCTCGAACCCCTGATGAACTAGTCGGGCTGTTGGGCCCATACTTTCCTTCTGTTCTGCATTTGGGCATGCTGTTTTCGGTGCCTGAAAATATCGATTCCACTATCCCACTTCGCTGCATTTTTGTTCAAAATTCTTTCCATTTTCAAGATCTGGCTCAAATTCTACATGCAAGTTTGTCTTCATTCCTTTACAGCTACGCCATCAGCAAAACTTTACAAAACACATACAGGGCCGGTGTGCTGGCTCATGCCTGTAATCCCAGCACTTTGGGAGGCCGAGGCAGGTGGATCCTGAGGTCAGGAGTTTGAGATTAGCGTGGCCAGTATGGTGAAACCCCATCTCTACTAAAAATATAAAAATTAGCTGCGTGTGGTTGCGGAGGTGCCTGTGGTCCCAGCTCCTCGGGAGGCTGAGGCAGGAGAATAGCTTGAACCCGGGAGGCAGAGGTTGCAATGAGCAAGAACGCATCACTGCATTCCAACCTGGTGACAGAGTGAGACACAGTCTCAAAAAACAAAACAACCCCCTCCACACACACACACACACACACACACACACATACAAAAACCACTGTAGGAGTCACAGAAAGAGGACAACATGTATGGTTCTTGCTCACAGAGAAACAATTCTGTTTGAGAAGAAAGATCAGAAGTTCAGCGGCAAATTATGAGCCCAAAGTAAGGTATAAATATTGAAGGAATTAAGCTTGTTAGTTTAAAATTTAAAATGCCTCTCCACCTCAGTCATTAGCCATTTAATTCTGTCACACCTGTAAATTGACTCTTCCTAACCTAAGCTGTCGTCATTAGGTGCCTAAGAAAAACACAAATAAATCAAAGTCAACATACTTTTATTTATTTATTCAGAGATTATGGAAAAATTATATCACAGTTAGGGCTCTGATTATGAATGAAGTATATTGAGAAAGTCTTACATCAAAAAGTGTGTGTTGGCAGTTCTGCATGACATCATCTGATAGATACAAGAAAGATTGTATGTTGATTCAAACTGCTATTTTATTGCCGTTGTATCAAGTAAGTTAAGCCTCCTTTTAAGAACTTTAAAAATGTTTACCTTTTCCAGGCGATTACTTAACTTTGCAATTATCCAGAAAGTGAGCTCATGTGGAGCGCAAAATACAGTAAATAATCTTAACACAAGGTATTAAAAATTTTTATCTGGTGCTTTTAAACAGATTTGATTTCTTTATGGATATTCTCTACATATTGAGTCATTGTCATATTCTCTGTTGGTTCTTTATACAGTGGCTGTCTGCTAAATCCAATTATAGGCCCTCTCACAGTTTATTTCCATTGACTGCTTTTTTTCTCCCTTGAGTATGGTTCATGCTTTTCTGCTTTTTAGCATGTCTTATAATTTTTTATTGAAAATTGGACATTTTTGATAATACAGCAATTCTGATTCTAATTTTCATTTTTTGTTTTTCTCCTGAGGTTTTTTATTATTGGAAGATTTTTTGTTTACCTCCCCACCATTTTTTTTCCAGAGTATTGCTCTGTCACCCAGGCTAGAGTGCTGTGGCACCATCTGGGCTCACGGCAACCTCCACCTCCCGAGTTCCAACTCCAAGTGATTCTCCTGCCTCAGCCTCCCAAGTAGCTGGGATTACAGGTGAGTGCCACTGTACTCAGTTAATTTTTTTTTTTAAATAGAGGTGGGGTTTCACCATGTTGGCCAGGCTGGTAATGAATTCCTGACCTCAGGTGATCCGTCTACCTTGGCCTCCCAAAGTGCTGGGATTACAGGCATGAGCCACCAGGCCTGGCCCCTCTTTCTTTCTTTCTTTTTTTTATTGACACGGAGTTTCCCTCTTGTTACCCAGGCTGGAGTGCAATGGCGCGATCTTGGCTCACTGCAACCTCCGCCTCCTGGGTTCAGGCAATTCTCCTGCCTCAGCCTCCTGAGTAGCTGGGATTACAGGCACGTGCCACCATGCCCAGCTAATTTTTTGTATTTTTAGTAGAGACAGGGTTTTACCATGTTGACCAGGATGGTCTCGATCTCTTGACCTCGTGATCCACCCGCCTCGGCCTCCCAACCTTTTACTTTTTTAAAAATGAACTAACCTAGACTTAAGCAGTAGAATCTGTCACTCCTGTGGTGTGTGGCTACTGACATCTCGGCTCAGATTAGGGGTCATCTCTGTGTCTGTGTAGCTTAGTGGTCAGCCAATGACTGGTCACGGGTTGTGCTCCAACACCTCTAGTCAATAAGGCTTCTACTCTCTGTGGGTCTGTGTTTGGTTTACAGCGTTGCATTCTAAGTCTGGGCAGTTTGGAAGTCAGCCCCAATTCTTTCTTTCTGCCAGGCTCTCAGGTCGCTGCTGCATAAGTGTAGAAGCTTCCAGACAGCCAGGGGTGTATGAAACGCTTATTAAGGCCCTCAATGACTATCTCGTTTCCAGGATCTCCCTGTCTAACCCTCTGGTATTCTACTTACACCCCAACAGGGACTGCAACCTTAGTTTAGGAGAGTGGCAGACTTTTCTCATTTGCTGCTGGGTATGGATTTTCCTTCTTCCACTCCAAATAAAGTCAGTCTCCTGCAAAGCAAAGCTGCTGGTTTTCACGGGATGCCTTGGAAGATTTCCAGGTCACTGGGATAATTGTTTTCATCAAATGTGTCCAGCTTTATAGTTGTTTAGGGGAAAATGATTTGCTGATCTCTTCATTTCTTCATAGCTGAAGTTCTACCTCATTCAAAATACTAGAATCATGCCTTTTGCAAAGACGTTTCAAAAGTTTACCTTTCGTTTATCTGTGGTATTAGGCATCATTTTTTGGCAGGTGGCCACCCATCACTGCACTGAGAAAATGAGTCAGATAACAAGCTGGTGTGATCTGAACATTAGTTTCATAAGAAAAGAAAGAGATTAGCATTTCAGCCTTAGAAAATGTTAAAGATGAACATTAGCTAATTAAGTTCATATTTCTAAATTAAATGTATAGTCTTTTAATTGGCAATATTTTAAAATGCTCTTTAATGCATGCAGAAAAATATAAATGCAAATGATGATAATCCTTTAACCTCACAGAGCTGGTCTTTTAGTTGGAAATACAGAAAATGTCAAAGGAAAAATGGCCTTCAGAAAAGAAACACTTCATTGATTCCAGGGTGAATCAATGAGCACACTTTAATCTCCATTTACGCTGTGGGGATTAGCACAAGCTAGCTCCCAAGAGGAAGTTCTTCCATGTCCCACAGAATCTTCACAAAATGTCAGTTAAAAGTGCCTAATAGGCTGGGCACGCTGTAATCCCAGCACTTTGGGAGGTGGGTGGATCACCTGAGGTCGGGAGTTCTAGACCAGCCTGACCAACATGGAGAAACTCCATCTCTACTAAAAATACAAAATTAGTTGGGCATGATGGTGCATGCCTGTAATCCCAGCTACTGGGGAAGCTGAGGCAGGAGTATTGCTTGAATCCGGGGAGGCGGAGGTTGTGGTGAGCTGAGATCACACCATTGCACTCCAGCCTGGGCAATGAGTGAAACACCATTTCAAAAAAAAAAGTGCCCAATAAATAAAGAAACAGCAGCACCACGTATGTACAAGACAGGTGAGCCCTTTTTTCTTGTTTGTTTCCTCTTGTCACAGTGATACAGGAGATAGAAAGAAATTATTTAGGCAGATAGTAAGGGCCACAGAGTCCTCAGTGAATTTCCTTTTTAACAACAACAACAACAAAAAGCAGCCCCCAAATCATTTATTTTCTAACAAAGAGCAACCTGAAAAATCTATCTACAAACATAGATTAGCAAGCTGGAAGCCTGCATGGGTGAATGGCGATAGCTGTGCCAGGAGAAAAGAGGTACCTGAAAGCCAGGGATGTTCAACATAGAGACTTCATCTTCCCTTTTCTTTGTAAAAAATCAGGCAACATGGCACCAGCCACATAGAGAATCATCTGCATAATAAAAGATAAGGGTGGGGTGGCCAGTCTTTTTGTGAGCCGTGCACACTCTGTCCTAACCCATTTTGCATGCCTTATACAAATGGCATACCTGGTGCAACCAATTTTTCATGCCCTACATAAATCAAACACCACCTCCTCAAGCTCATCCGTAAAACTTTCGCCTTTCAATGCAAAAGCGGCAACACATTTCTTCAGGACCCCTCTCTCTTCAGCAGAGAGAGCTCTTCTCTTTCTTTCACCTATTAAACTTCCACTCTGAACTTCACGCTTTGTGAGTCTCCATCCTAATTTTTTCATGGCCATAAGACAATGAATCTCAGATATTTACCCCAAACAATGACACCGCTTCAATAGGACCACTTGGCATCCCTGCCTGAGTGAAGTGGATACTTTGATGTTACACCACGACGGCACTTCCCTCTGGATTCTGCCAATAACTGGAGGGAGGCCAGAATCTAGCCTTTTTGCTCCTTTTTCATCAGTAGTATCTAGGCTTGAGATTTAGAGAAATTCGGTTGTCAGTGGGTCTTGAACTCTCAACCAAGCATTATAGCCCATCTAAACAATTTGTTTTTTAAAAGTTTGTTCATATTTTTGTCACTTCTTGGAGATAGCAGTTTGGTATTTATATGATTTCTAGTCACTTTCCTATTTATCTTCATTCTTCAATATAAAATGGCAAGAACATATTTAGAAAATGATGCCTCTATATCAGAAATTTCTACTTCTTCATAGTATGATATGTTTGTAGTCAACATGTCTTATAAAAATAAAAAATCAATTTATCGATTTAAATCTCTAGGTATCAAAAAGTGAATGGGGGAGGTAGGATGTGTTTCAACTGTCCATTAGACTGATGTATTTATAAAACAAAAAATTATGCTATGAAGTCAGCATAGATTAATTGGTCTGGATGTAAACCACAAAGAAAAATCTTTTAAATGTGACCATTGAAATGTCCTTGCTTGAAAGCATTGATAAGATATTACTCAAATATTTTGTCCCTGCCTCTTTACCCCTTCTGAGTAAGAAAACTGAGGTGACTATTATTCTGTTATGTTGTGTATTACCACACTATTTCCACTACCTGTGGAGTCTGTGAAGCCTGTGGAGCTAAATCATTTTAAAAGAATTAGTCACTATGTTCAGATTTTTTCTTTTTGGCATGCCTTCATTCCATGTTTTGCTATTGCTCTGAAGCATTTCCCTATTCATTAGCAATGAAGTTCAAAATATATATACTACATAAGCAAAAGCAGTTGCTAACACACGCTTCCCGTCTACTCCCCAAGAGTCCCAGGCATCACTGTCTGTATTCTTCTTCCATCTTCACCTGTGGAACACACAAGAAAAATTCCTCTCTTCTCTGACAATAATCTCCAGTCTCTCCATTCATATAAACTTGGGCATATAACATCTTTCTCTTCCAATAAACCTTTAGAAGAGACCGCTGGCCATGGCTTGTCACAGACTTAGAGCTGGTGACCGCCTTGACCGGCTACGTCACCTTTGACAATCAGCCACAGGAAAGGGGGTTTAATTACATTGCTACTAAAACCCATGAGCACCTTGGGGGCCAAGTTATAAATCCCAGAAAGCCTTCTGCACTTAGCAAGCACCTTATACAGGGTAGCCTGCGAGATTGATGAATATTTGGTTAATGAATGCATTAAATGGTTGAGTGACTACAGAATAATAAAGACTGCTTTTGTGTGAAATTGACAAGAGTTTTCCTAAAGTAATATAGAAAAACACCTGCCTTTGCAGAGGAGTCTGGATGACATGTATTTTAAAATCTTCCTCTAGCTTTTATAAATGGAATTCTTTGTTTTTTTTTTTATCAGAACTTATAACTTTTTCCCTCAGTACCTGACAGTTGTTTCCCATTTCACTCAGAGAAAAGTAAAAGTACTTACAATAGCCTGTAAGATCCAGCATGAGCTCACCTGGCTGTTCCCTTTATTACTTTGCTGACTTTAGCTTTCACTTCTTTCTCCCTCCCATTTCCTCCACCTCCACTGGTCTCCTTGATAGTTCTTAGATGCACCAGGTACGTACTTAGAGGCCTTAGTACCTTTGCGCTAGCTACGCCATCTGCCTGGTGATTTTACCCAGGCAAGCACATGGCACATTCCCCACCTCCTTAAAATCTCATCTTTGCTGGGCGCGGTGGCTCAAGCCTGTAACCCCAGCACTTTGGGAGGTCGAGGCGGGTAGATCACGAGGTCAAGAGATCGAGAACCATCCTGGTCAACATGGTGAAACCCAGTCTCTACTAAAAATACAAAAAATTAGCTGGGCATGGTGGCACGTGCCTGTAATCCCAGCTCCTCGGGAGGCTGAGGCAGGAGAATTGCCTGAACCCAGGAGGCAGAGGTTGCCGTGAGCCGAGATCGCGCCATTGCACTCCAGCCTGGGTAACAAGAGCGAAACTCCGTCTCAAAAAAAAAAAAATAGGCCCGGCGCGGTGGCTCATGCCTGTAATCCCAGCACTTTGGGAGGCCGAGGCGGGTGGATCACGAGGTCAAGAGATCCAGACCAACCTGGTCAACATGGTGAAACCCCGTCTCTACTAAAAATACAAAAAATTAGCTGGGCATGGTGGCACGTGCCTGTAATCCCAGCTACTCGGGAGGCTGAGGCAGGAGAATTGCCTGAACCCAGGAGGCGGAGGTTGCGGTGAGCCAAGATTGTGCCATTGCACTCCAGCCTGGGTAACAAGAGCTAAACTCCGTCTCAAAATAAATAAATAAATAAATAAATAAATAAATAAATAAATAAATAATAAAAATAGATTTTGGGTTCCACCAAAGAAAATTCTGATTCAATGATATAGGATAGGACTCAGAAATATATATGGGGGCCTCAGATGAGCCTGACCGAAGCTCTGAATGATAGAAAGAACGTAATTTTGGAGTCATATCTATCTAACTTTGAGTCTCTACTCTACAGTTGATTAGCTGACTGTGTGATTGTGGGCAAATTACTTATTGAAGCTTATTCTCTACCAACCTGTCTTCTCATCTGTAAAATGGAGACAAATACTTGGTGAATGAATATCTGAATGCAGGAATGGATCAGAAGCCCTAAAAAGGGTTTCCATAAACAACATGCCACAATTAATGAAGGTAACATAGGCCTGAAACATAAGAGGCATTAAAGAGATATTAATGACCTAGTTTTCCCCAGGCATACTTATATGTAACAAATAA